CAGTATATCACAATGTCCTGTAAGGCTTTAAATTAAGTGCACTTTTCTAAAATACTTCTAATACAGTACAAGTTAGGGTTGCTTTACAATGCAGATTCATTCAAACGTTAGTGCAAATTCCCAACATTGTTCTTTATAACCTATCATTTTCAACAATATCAAAATCAATTTTTATTTCAAATAAGAGTTCATAGATATCCAAATCTTCAAAGTGAAATGAAATAACTGAAAATACATTTTATATGGAAAACAAACATTAAAACTTTACCAATAATGATATTTCAAGGGCTACATATGCAGATTTAATCAGATTTCATAATATTACCTTTTGCTTGTGGGTTTTATGTTTTTGCAGTTTACATTTAATGATAAATAACCATTCACTTATGTGACTTGGGTAAAGGAAGCATTTAGACCTGTAAAACAGCACCTGTTTTACAGGGGCGATCCCACCATCACTGCTATTTTTTCTTTTGACACTGGGTAACATCTGAAAAAAAAAAAAGCTGACCCCTCTGAGCATACTGAACTGCACTGTACTCTTTATTAAGAATAATTTAATATATACTTAACGAGTAATCCTACCTGCCATCAGGCACTGTAAGCTCATGCCTACTTGGTGCTTCTGTATAGTCCGTCTGAATCTAAGGGGCTGGAAGACAAATATTCCCATTTATGTGGCATTGAATCATGGTATTATTTAAACTATATAACATTAATTATGTGCCGCAACACTACAAAATGCTATGACTTGGTGATTAAAGTGTTCAGTGGTTTGCAAGCAAAGTTCAACACTTTGACTAATCCATTCTATTGATGTATTTGCATGTTACTAGCCTAGAGCTTGTTTTACTAAAAAAGTTGCCAATTTTTGTACATTAGCAGCGTCTGGTTCCAGAAAGTTTCTCTTTTGGTTTTGTCCATGCTACCGTTGCTCCTTTTAGTATCCAACTTTCAGACACCATTGGCCGACTGAGTGCCCTGATGTGTTACATCAGGCTGCACATAGGAAAAAAAAGCTGCCAGTGCAGACAGGGGTGCTAACATTGCAAATAATCCATTCATGAAAACAGCATAAAAAAACAAACAAACAAAAAATATAAATAAATCAACTGCCCTTGGGGCCCAAAATAAAACCGGCTTACTCGGAATTGTCCAGGTCCTCCCTATTAGCCACTCCGGGCCTGGTGTCAATCTTAAAAGAGGAAATGTCATCTTCCAGCCGGCCCTGGAAGATAGACCCCAGTTGTAGCTTATCAAGTACGAGCATGTTTTAAAAAGTCTCTTCAGTGTTTTCAAAGCAGCAGAGCTTCTCTGCCATGCTATGGCAAATTAATGTTTGCTGCGTGGTCGTAGTGTTGTTCCCCTTGGCGGTGCATCTTTAGCTGTCATTTTTTGCTACCTTCTAGCTATTTGTGGCAGTTGAAAGTGAGCTATAAAGCATTCTGTTGTATTGGGTTAACATCTGCATGTACCAGATATACCAGAAAAAAATTTATTCTTTTGCTGCAAAATCTTGTCTAACAGATTCAAATTACAGTAAATGTCCATATAGAGTGTTTATTGAATGACGTGTCTATGTTCTTTTTGTATGTCTGCTTCTGTCTCCTTGAACCCGAGTCAGCCTCAGCAGATGGCTGCTCAGACTGAGCCTGGATCAGTTTCTTGTTATTAAAAGGGAGTTTTTCCTCTCCACTGTTGTTACGTGCATGCTTGTTGTGAGGGATCGCTCCAAGGTCAACTATACCATTTAATCAAATGTCTAATGTTGTCACTTATTCTTCTAGGAGGAGCAGTTACTGCAAAGTTGATGACTCAGAGCTATCAGCTGGTTTTCCTGAAATAGAAAACTGTTAACCTTTCTGTATGATTATATTTGAATTGAACTGAGTTGAATTGTAAAAACATGTCCACTGGTGCTATATATAAATAACCTGAACTGAATTATCCTATAAGCTCAGCAGTAACAGTTTATAAAACCATTCCCTCAGTTTTTTTCCCCGAAAGAAAGAAAACAAATATTTTGATATAGCACTAATGACTTTCCCATCTCCAAGCCTACCTGAAACACAAGCCGACTAAGCCATTTTACCAAAAACCCTCAATTAAATCCTTATGCAGAATCCTCCAAAAAAGATACTCATAGTTTATAAAGGTATTTCCCAATTTTTTTTAAATCAACAAACACAAAGGACCCAAAGGTTGATGTGGACGTGAACACTTCAGTCAATTATTCAGGGGCTGAGATTTAAATGGCCACAAAAAAAACTTGCCTAAATTTCATATTGTAACTACAACATATTAGTTATATCTGCAATTAAAAAGTTATGTATTTTTAGAAAAAAAAATCCAGATGATCCTTTCTGTGCCAATTTTGGCATAGTTTTGCCTGATTTTTGAAATTTAGAATTTATTCTTAAAATTAAAGATGTGGAATATCTGTGCATGGCCTCAAAGTATGAATGTGTCTGCAGACACATTATGAAAGAAAAGTGTGATGGTAAGTCATTTACAAACCAGTTCATGTGGTCACAGATGCAGTTAGGATAACGCATGCCTTGCCCTTTTTACAGTTGTGCTTGAAAGTTTACATACCCTCCCGTTAAAGAAATAGAAAATTTCACACTAGAAATTCAAATAACACAGAATTGAAAAAGTAATAATACATAAAACAATTACTCAATGATAATTTGGTGGAATAAGATGTTAATTTTATTTTAAAATGTATATTTCTAAAAAACAAACTCTGCCACATAAAGTACCTTGCTCAAGAACAGTGAACTAGCAGGTGCAGCAGTGTGGCTGACCAAATCCTGAAAACAC